TTTCGGTATGTGCATGTGTGTGCAAACTTTCCCCAAAATGGCGGAAATTGGGAGATGATTATATTTTAAATATCTCTCGCGCACAGGCACACAAAGTGCGGGAGCGACGGGAACGCCAAACTCTCCGCTGCGCGCTGAGCGCGGCCTTCGCGCACGGGGACCCGCGGCACATTCAACCGGTCCATCCCGGCCGCCGCCTGCCGCTTCCGACCGAAAAAACGGGGCTCTCGCACCGCCCCCCCCCCCCGCCCGCGCCTCCCCCCCCCGCGCCCGCACCTCGCCCCGTCCTTCGGCGTGCGCGAACAAAGAGCCGGGGCCGGGGGGGAGCGCAGCGCAGTATCCCCCCCGCTGCCCGCCCTCCAGCGCGCAGCCCCGCGCCCCCCCCCCCGCGGCCCCATCGCGTTTGTCCCCGCGGTGCCCCGCGAGCGGCGTTAAATGGAGCCGAGCGGCGGCTCGGCGGTGGGGCAAGTCCGCAAAATGTCTCTCCCCTTCCCTTCCCCCGCCCCACGGGGGCCCCCGCCCCCCCTAAAGAAGGCCCCCCCGGCGCGTTTCGGCGGCTCCCTCCCCCATACGGAGCTCTATGCACATGCACATACGTGCGTGCCCGTGGCTGCGCCGAGATACGCGGCACGGCTCGATGCGCGTACTCCCGTCATGTGTTTGGGGAGAGAAAAAGAAATAGCAGGCACCTCTCTCTCTCTTTCTTTTGTTCCTCTTTCTCACTCACACACTTGGGGCGCGGGGAGGCACCCCGTGCCCCGGCCGCTCCCCCGCCACTTGCGAGTCACTTGCCCACTTTCCCCGGCGCGAACTTCCATCCCCGCCGTGCGGGTGGGGGGAGAAGCCCCCTCCCTTCCCCGGCGGCGTTTCGTAAGGGAGGGCGAGGAGGTGCGCCTCTGCCTTTCTTTCGCTCTTCAACTTTCATCCTCACCTACGGCCGAACCCGACCCCACCGCCGGCCTTCGGCCGCCGACGCCGTTCCCCGGCCGCGGCCGGCGGCTCCGGCTCGCAACCCGCCGTTCCTTACCCCCCCAAATTCTCTCTCTCTCTTTTTCTCCGGCTCTCGAGTAGGTCCTGACAAATATGGTCCAGGGCTGCGGGCACAAGTGAGCATGCGCCCGCCGAGCCAGGGCTGGGGAAAGGGGAAACTGCTGCCGCCGCCGCCGCTCGTTCTTCCTCCCTCGCCTGCGCTGCCGCTGCGCCGGAGCCGCACTCGCGGCAGTGGCAGCGCAGGCGAGGGTGGAAGAGCGAGCGGCGGCGGTTGAAGTCGGCGGTGGCGGAGCGCACGGCGCCCTACGAGGTGCGGCATCCCCAGTTGCATGCCGACGCCGGAGGAATAATAAGAAGGCTTGCGCGGCAGCGCGCTGCTATTTTTGGTCTTTTGGAAAATAACGCGCTGCGCCTTTTTTTCCTTTTTCTCCTAGTCTTCTCGCCGTCTTTTCCCCCATTCTTTCACTAAAAGGCGTGACGGGTCGCTGCCTGCCGTCCGAGCCCGGAGCCGAGCTTCTTGCCTTGGGATGTCACACGGGACCCGGCTGGGGGAGTGCAGCCACGCACACTCCTGCGCTCTGCTACGGCGCTGGGCCTCGGTCCGCTGCAGCCGGTCTGCAAATGGAAAGTAGTTTCACCTGTGCCACCTGCCCTCCATCACTCCCTGTGCTCACAGTGGGAAATATTTTCTGTCACTTGTCATTGTTTAGAAAATGCTACGAACGGAAGGGCCCGTGGTTTTTTTTGTTGTTGTTGTTTTTGGTTTTTTTTTATGGGGTTGGAGAGGGTGGGGTACCTTCACCTAGACGGAGGGCTGCAAAGCAGCATTAAACAGAATAGAGCTACATGAGGCCTAACTAGATTGGTGAGAGGGAGGGAGGAGGATTGCAATCTGTTGTGTATATGATGCTTGAAAACATTTAGATACATAGATAGGTATAGGTATAGATAGATGTAGATATAGGCAGATATAGATGGGTAAGTAGATGAGAGAGTGGGGGGGAGAGGGAGAGACAGAAAGTTTCAGACAAAGTGTAAGCCAACATGGAATACAGTCATCATTATACTTACCAGAAATTTTTTATTCAGATCACATGATATCTCTGTAAGATGGCCATGTTCTGAAGGCGAGGATTGGCAAAGTGAATTAAGCATTTTTAGTAGTTTGGCATGTTGTTATGTCTCTTTTAAAATAGCCATCAGCCTCCTATTTATCCCAGTAATTACCAAGTCCAGACTTTCCCTTGAATTTACATATGCTTCCTTCTACAATTACAGTGACAACTGTGGCCCAAATTATTAAAACAGGAATAAGATAAAAAACCAGGAATAAATACTAGGATTAATTATCAACATAAATAAAGATATGACCAAAAACACTCACCTACAAAGTCAGGATAGCCAAAATGTGATTTGTATCAGACAAAAGAAACCCTTTTTTGCTAGTATGGGTATACACAATTTATGATGGGTATATACTGTGTGCATCCATGCAACTGGGGCAGCCTTGCACTGGACAAAGGATAGAAGTGCCCTTCTCTGACAGGAGGACTTCCAGCATTGGCTTCCACTCACTGAAGTATTTACGTAAGAGCATATGTTAAAATACTTAAGAATCATACCTATGTCCATACTCCTAAATTAGGTGTAGCTTTGCTTAGACTTCTAGCTTGCTGT